TAACCCAGCCATGTAAAAGAATGCAGATTAAAAGATATGGGTTGTTTTAAGTTTCAAGCCTAAGCTAAAGGTACAAGCCTAAGCTAAAGCTGAGCTTCCATAACAAGCCTCTCTGTGGTCATTACTTGGGCCTGGCAATAGAGAAGAATGTCTGTCTACAGACAGGGGAGCAAGAGCATCTCAGAAATGCCACCCAGGCCCTTGTCTCCCACAGATCAGGGCTGGTCTTTCACAGTGAATAAGAGGGCATACGGTTCTGCAAAGCAGACAAGAAAGTTTACAACACCTGTTATTTCAGGCTTAAAATACAAATTGTGTACAGAAACAGCTTAGGCTAATTTTTGTGGACTTGTTCAGGTCACCACTTCAATGGATGACACTTGAAAGTCTGAAATGGTAAACCATGGAAAGACAGAAAATGTCTCAGGGTCTATTCTCAACCTTTTAAGGCAAGTGGTTTTGGGTAATATTCTTTCCATACACCATGCCATAATTACATTCTATACTTGGATGGTGGTCTGGGTAGGACATAGGCTAGCACACACTCATTATATGTGAATATAATGGCAATAACTTACCTTTCCTCTAAGGCAAAGTGTTCCCAAAGCTACAGGGAATAGCACCAACTTGAAACATTTCCCTGTGGAGAAAAAGCGATGCAGTACCACTTGGTGAGAATGTAATCTTCACCACCATCATGGAAGGGAGTATAGAAGTTTGTGTGCTCTATTTTTTCTACTTGTAGATACTTGTCCAAAGGAAATGAAAATAATTTATTAAAGTGATACCTTGTTTACTATGGCACCATGCCTATAATGGGCACATAGAATTTACAGAATATATATATTTATATATATGTGTGTGTGTGTGTGTGTGTGTGTGTGTGTGTGTGTGCGTGCGTGCGTGTGCACGCGCGCGCGCATAAACACATATGTATGTGGTATATATTGAATATTTATTCCGTCCTACACTGAGTGGAATCATGTCATTTGTGGTATCAGGTAGAACTGGACGACATTAAGTGAAATAAGGCAAACAGAATGGGAGATTTTATGTGTTCTCTCACATATGAAAGCTAAAAAGTGAATCAGAAGACAGAGTGGTGATTACTATAAAGTAGGAAGGAGGGAAGGCAAGAATGTTGGCAGGGGCGGAGCACTCAGGTACAGAGGCAGACTATTGGTCTTTATTTGATAAAGAACTAGAAATGAGGAATTTGAATGCTCCCAACAAAATCACAAACGTTTAAGGAAACGAAAGTGTTATTTGACTTGACTTGATCATTACACATGTATATGCATTGAATTACCACGCAGTAATTACATGAATAAAGCATGCAAATACGTACAGTTGTTAACATGTGCTAGTTAAAGGATACAATTGATGAAGTACATAGTGCTGTGACTGGCAATGCCAGAACATAAGCTTGTTTCAGGATGGCTCCAGGCTTTGTTTGTCATTGTGCGGGTGACACTGTGACAAACAATATTTTTGTTACATTATGCCTAGGCAAGAGAATTCTGCCTTTATACCATGCATTTCTTTCATTAGGTTTTATAGTTATAAACTTACAACTTGATAACTAAGCTACTCTATTTCTGAAATTTTGGAACTAAAACTCCTAGAACGTTATTCTCTTGTGGAAAAATGAGATTTGGGAGTTAGAACACATGCCCTTAAGAAGATAATTATGGCATGGCACCAGCTCTGTTGACAGCATTGGCTTTGATTACCAGTCTATGTGACAAGCAGCAGCAGAAGTGATTCTCCACTGGGAAATGGCAGGGTGTGGTTTTATACATGACCCCTTCATGGAAAAGGGAATTTCCCAAAAGAAAAGCTGTGGGTGATCTTCCAATGTCATAGTTCACTATGACCACAAGGGCAGAAGCGCTTAGAGGCCATGAGAATTGTGATAGAAGCTGACTGCTTTAAACACTCTGAGAAAGCATGTACATTCCAAAGCCAACAGCTCAGTCCAGAAAAGAACCTGCCTGCCAAGAGCTTCTTTGTAGGTTGAATATGATCCCTCAAGGTAGAATTCTTTGCTTTTAATTTTTGTTTTCTTCTTCTGAGAGACAAACAAGTTGGTCATGAAGACTAATAAGCCCAAGGAATGAGGCTAGTCCTGAGTTGGTGAATTTTCTAGAAAACTTACCATGATATCCATTCCCCCCCCCTCCAGCTCTGAAGAACAGCAATTATATGCCTTTCCTGGCATGCAGAGGGCACTTGATGGAGGCAGCTGGTTTACCTGAGTGTGAATGACTAAAATTCTTTCAACCTCAAGGTGCAGTTTGTCAGGGAATACTTGTTAGTGCCAATAGCAACAACCCCCCTCCAAAGTAGGCAAATAAAGAGAGGGGAGCAGGAATTTAAGTCTATAAAAATGCCAAGCTGCATGCAACTGAGCTGACCCTTAAGAAGAGCAAGGCGGAGGTCTCTCTCACCCAGGTAATGATTGTATGGGTCCCATAAGGAGATGGTTAAGTCAAACTGAGATGACTGTGCTTAGGAGGGGGAAAATATGTCAATCACACTTTGCCTTTGACACAAGGAAATTCCTTGAAACTGAGAATGGAGAGTGGAAGGGCAGGAGACAGCCTCCTCATGTGGGTGGCCAGGAAACCAGGGGCCAGAAAAGCATGAGAGGAGAGAGGGAGAAAGAGACAGAGAGGTGGGGGAAAAACAGAAGATTGAATTCTAATCAAAATGCTACGAGGCATTCACACCAGGCCTTGAGAGAATATTAACAAGGTTGGGGGGGAGGGACTTTAGCCCCAGGAATTATTAGTGAATATGGAATTATATTTGCACAAACACTACCAGATGCAAGGAGCTAAATGTCCTGCAGATGTGGAAGGGGGCCAGTGTGTGCTCCAAATAGGCAGCAGCTTTATTTGTTTTACCCGTCTTCCAGAGCCGGGGCAGCACGTTTCTGAAGGGTTACATTCCAGAATGACCACCACACCATGAACCCCAGTTTCCCAAAGTCTGTCTTCATCAGCCTCCTTGGTGCCTCAGTCCAGGATCATGTGGAGTAGTAGCCTTGAGGCATGTCTGACTAGCTCACCAACTTATTCTCCTGACTCCTTTGTAGAGGGGGAGGGGAGGAATGGTCTGATGTTCCCAGAGGGGATTTACTGAAAGATGAAAGGGATCAGAGCTTGGTACATCACAAACGATCCAGAGAGGAGCTGGGAATAGAGATAGAGCTCACAGACAAAGGAGGCAAGGTGTTTCCTTTTCCTATGATGCAGACTACCTTCCTGTAACTTTAATTTAGATTTGCTACTGCTGGAAAGGACATACTTCATTTCTAACTTTGGACAAGACACTAGTTTCAGAGAGTGTCTGAACACAAGCCCCCAAGTCCCTCTAGTAGTCACACTGAGCAACAGTTATGAGGATATTGGAAAATCGTGAGTTGAGATGGCTCAGTGGGTAAAAAAGCTTCCCACCAACCCTGAGTTGAGTTCCTGAGACCTACACAATGAAGGAGAGAACTGACTCCTATAAGTTGTCCTCTGACCTCCACATATGTGCCAAGGCATGTGGATGTGTATGTACACAGAGATAAGAGAAATATAATAATAATTTTAAAGATGTGGCTTTATAAGAAAAGTTTCAGAACATTGATATTGTAAGGATGGAAAAATTTAGCCTAATTTTCCCTATACTCTGCCCCCTAGCAGTAAATAGGCAAAAGGTCATTCTTGATTGTTTTATGACAGGGTGGGTTACTGACAGCACCTGTGAATGAATGAGAACAGGAAATGAGCTGTGCCACACTACCCAGGAGCCCTATCAAAAGCAGACTTCCTGGGCTAAGCATGGGCTTGTCACACTACCCAGGAGCCCCAGCGAAAGCAGACTTCCTGGGCAAAGCGCGGGCTTGCATAGTTCAAATTGATTGGTCCACACTGGATGTTATGAGATAATTGGTTTGTGATGCGAGGGCTTTGTTGTAACCCTATAAAAGCTGTCTGAACCCTATACCAGTCCTTTACCCCACGTGGAGTATGGCTGCGGACCCCAGTGCACTGGAATATAAAATGCTTTTACATTAAGACCACTTCTCGTGAGTGATTTGGGGGGGCCACCTTTCCTGAGTCGGGGCGTGAGGGTTCGAGCCCTCCGAGGTCTTACAATATGACTTGTAGAAGCAGGGAATCTTGAAGCCAGCCTCATGAATTCTCACAGGCCCTCTATCAGTGTTGGTTATATCCCTACATGGATATATGTTTTATACCATTTATCAAGTTAAAGTGCTTAATGCCAATTACTTAATATTGCTCTGAATTTCTCTGTCATTTTTTTCTTCCAGATAGGTTGGTATGCACTTGGGTTAAGGACATGTTTAGCTTGAGCAGAGTAGAACACATTATATGGGCCACATAACTGTGTTGTAGAGTTGATTGCTGGCTTATATTTATATGAATGAATCTCAGAAACTCTCTTACTGGCTGCTCACCCAGTGATCTGGGCAACCAAGATATATCATCCTGGAACATGAATGCATCCTATAATGCCCAGCACAGAAATTAGGGTGATGGTAGGGAAGAAACAGGACTTAGAATGCAAAGCCAGAAGCTGGTATGGAAAAGTTATCTAGATCTTGTGACTCGTGGGTGTCTCAAAAGTCTAACAAAAGTATTTCAATCTGATGATAACCATGCATTTGTGTGAGTGGCACAGCAATCGACGGGAGTGTGCCCTGTGGAAAGTTTCCTAAGCTATCAACAATAAAAAGCAAATTTTGATTAACCATACTGAAGAGGAGAGATAAAATGTTCCTGTTCCCCTTGTTCAGTGTGTCACTTAAACAGTTGTCATCTGTCAACTGTCAGACTCTGCAGGGTGGTTGTATCTGTGCATGACAGACAACTACTAAAAGCTTTGTACTGTTTTCATGGACTTGCTAATGTTTGTGCTATTTGTCAACTCCTTTCAAAATAATTTGCTGCAATTCTCTCTTTTTTTAATTTATTTTTTTAAATATATATAAGAAAACTGAATGGTATCTACAGGCACTGTGTTGATCTCGGCTGTCCAAGTCTCTCCAGTTACTCTGGCATGCAGTTGGAGATCCCATAGCCCTTGGAAACATGCTGATGATTTCTCTTTCTAACTAAATATTTACTCGACTCCCCATACTAAAGTCATAATTGTGCATTGTTTATCTAAAGAAGACTTCCAGAGTTGGGTGAGTCTCAGACCCATGTTCTTTGGATTTGCCCTGGTGCCATATGTCCACTTCCCAGACTTTCCTATTTCCATCATCAGTCTGTGAGGCCAGCTCTGTTCATGCCATCTGACCTGAAACTTACAGCCACAAAGTTCTACATGGATTCAAGCCAAGGTCTGCCTTTGGCTGGAGGAAGATGATTATCCTAACCCTCACTCATTCCCTGCCTCACCAGAGGGTATGCTGAACCCTGAGGATCTTTCTGTGCTTCATCTAAGATTAAAATGACTCCATTGACACCATCCCCAATGTACTCCTGTGCCCCTTACCTGCATCACAGTTGATAGATTTGGGGGGGAGGGTGTTTGAGACAGTATTTCTCCGTATAACAGTCCTGGCTGTCCTGGAACTCACTTTGTAGACCAGGCTGGCCTTGAATTCACAGAGATGCTCCCGCCTCTGCCTTTCGAGTGCTGGGATTAAAAACATGTGCCACCATGTCTGGCCATTTGATAGCTCGTAAAGTTCTCACTGTCAGAGTTCTCTTCATTTCCTCAATATATGTTCTTATGGGTTTCTCTGGAAGTTCCCCCATCTTGTAACACTTCCAGGTGTTTACAGCCAATAGACAGAAATAGGAAAGCTACTTCAAAGGGCCTGGGTTGAAGGAGTTGGGGGCTACAGTGATTTAGGCATCTTTTAACTGAACTTCAAAACACAGTTTCTCCAGGAAGCCACTAGATTAATGGTAGGCATGCAACCTCCATGCAATTCTCCAGTAGTCCCTTTTACCGTTGGCTATTCACCCACACACAGAATGTTTGCTCATGTTCTCATTCTTCTGAGAAAACAGGATCAGCAGGCAACGCCTTATAATCTTTGCTACATTTCATTTTCAACACAGTGTGAGGACCCAGCAGAATTTCCAACCAGATAATGTCTGAAATGAGGCAAGGTTTTTGTTTGTTTTTACTTCAGTACAACTCAGTATCTATCATGTTGCCTTAAAAAATGACAAAAAGAAATCAGTTAATTTTGTATCAAAACAACACCTCGCTTCAGCCCTCCACAGACCTCCTGCTCTGTCTCCCCAGATTCTTGTGTGTGGCTTCGCCTCCCTAGGTGGGACCAGCAGTGAGTGGTGCTGCTTCCAAAGTCTGTAGCTGTAAAATTAGATGGTGTTATTTCTTTCCCATTGCAAAAATCCCATGAGCCCGGAGAGTTAAATGATTAATGACTGAAAGCTCCTATACAAACACGAATACTTAATAAAAATAACCCTTCTTGGCCCCAGTGATCGGCACCAATGACCTGATGCTAAGCCTTGATCCAGTCATAAGACAGCTGAGATGAACCCTTCCCCTGCTGCAGATAATCTGGGCTGGTGTTCTTTGACTTCCTCCTCCACCAAGTCCCCTGCTCCTGCTGAGGTTCAGAATTTATCCCCAGAAACATGAAATCAGCTTTCTGTTTATGGGAGTCTCACACAAGGGACATCTCCAGTGTGGGCCATTGTGGTGTCAGTATAACTTTATCATCTCTTTTTCAAGGATCATGTCCTCTTGGCCTATACCACAAAAGTATTAGGAAGGTTGTGTGAGATCAAAACTTTTCATCAAATTTTCATTCAGTCTAGATCTTTCTGAGGAGAAGCCCTGCACATCTGTGGAGAGCCTCCAAGGAGAGCATGTTTCTCTCCCGACTGCTGGGGCTGGGATGTGCTTGAACAGAAACTCATAAGGAAACAGGTTTGGGCAAATTTTGAGTTTACTGTTGTTTACTGACTAAAACCCATTCTTCTCTTCAGGTAGAACACAGCCATATGGAATGTCTGAACTCAGATCTGACCCCTGAGCAAATTTAAAACATCCCGGGTCAGTTATTAACCAAGTCCGACACGCATTCAACAGTCTTGTCCTAAAGGACTTTTCTTTTCTTCTCTTTGAGCAGATGAACAGCTAAGGGAGTCCCTGCAGTAGAAAGGCATCTCAAAGCTTCCTGTGTTCCTTACAGTCCTGTGTGAATAGCTGGCCAGGTTTCACAACCTTAAGCCAAGCAAGATGAGGCTCATGAGACTTCCCTAAGCAGATCTGGATCTGAAATCCCAACAGAACCAGCTTACAGTTCTGGGATCTTAAGCATCTTGTTATGTTTCCCTCCATTTCTTTCCTTACATGCAAAGAGGGACAAAGTCTCACAGAAAGACAGAGTAGAAATACTGTCTTTAGCAGCCACTGCACATTTAGAGGGCTGAATTCAGACCTTCTGATCTTCGGTGGGCAGGACCAGGGGCTTGATGAGTTTTGTTTCATCACAGAAGCAAAAGTGGAACACAGCCTGCCCTCAAAGGGTCCAATATCAGTAAATATCCATCTTTATATATTCTCTGATTTTTTTCAAGTGTATTATCAATCATATGTAGAGACTGCACATGTCCTTACATCTAGGAAAACAACTCAGCAGTATGGCATATACTCGGCGTGAGCGAGGTTCTGGTTTCAAGCTCTCAACCTAAAGCTTAAAATAAAATAAAAATAGTCTGTCAAGTTCTTCAATTACACAAGCCGACTGTATCACAACTATGTACTACTCTGGAACATGTATTATAAAATAACATGTTAAAGCAAGAGGAATGTAAGTCATATTCAATTTTGTAACTACAGCAATGAACATCACCATCAATTATTATCTTGGAGGTAAATTGAACAGTCTAGCAAAGAGCATCTTTTGGGCCTTGTCTTGGACAATGTTTAAAATGCTTAAAAACCATCTCATGAGACTTTTACCCCTTGTGCTGGTGGAATATGGGGACAAGGTTTGCCTTCCTATGTATAACTCTGGATAAATATACACAATACTAGCTTTCTTGACATTGGGAATAATTGGTAGAGGACAAGCTAGGTGATCCCCACAGTTGCCCACCCCCAGCCACACACTGAGGAAGGCAGGGTAGAGTCCCAGTGGCTTTTTCTGGGAGGAGGCACTGGAGTTCAGGGAAGCCAATGTAGCTAACGTTTTCAGCACTGAGAGCCAGAGGAGGAGAGATGTGCAGTGAGAGCTTCTGGAATTTGTAGTCTCCTACAAGTTTTTGGCTAAGAAGGGTGCTAGCACAGACTTAACTACCTTAAAGAGCAATAAACCCTGATTCCTGGGATGCACAGAGGGCCAGGAAGGTGACTCTTATCATCATCCTGAATTGAAAACCTCATAACTCTTGGGGCTGAGACTAGTAATGAGAACATGCTGGGCTCAGATGTGGGGAGAGACTAAAATCTATTGAAATATTGTTTTAATTCTGCTGAGCAAAGACTAAATCAGGATCTCAACATTAATTTGCTTCTTAGTATTTGGTCCTAGTCCAGAACAGGGTCTATCTAGCAACCTTTAATATAAAACAATTTATGTGCATCTAGTGAAAAAAAACAGGAACATGAATAATCAATTTTTTAAAAAAGTAAACAGGGAAATAAATTGCATTTAAAATTACTTAAAATGGTCCAAATTATAACACCAATCAGGTATATTAATAGAATAGGTATGGTAACTGTGTTCCAAGTGTTCGGAATGTAAGGGCTGAGGATACAGCTCAGCAGTAGAGCATCTGCCAGCATGCCACATTCTATACTTGAGAAAGAAGGGTGGAGGACCCACGAGTTTTCTTCCTCTATGATAGCATGTCCATTGTTGTCTTGGAGTTAAGGGATTGATTTTTTTCAGGCATGCTGATGAGACTTCGTGGGTGTAGCTTCTAACATGTCTAAGAGACACAGTCTCACAGCAAACTTTCTGTTCTTCAGGCTCTCTCAATCTTTCACCCCTATTATTAATTCTGTGAAATTAATATTAATACTACAAATAATATTTTACAAAATTAATGATAATTTAGTGTTTAACTTATTATTTAAACAAAGGTATACAAATGCATTTCTAGCTAGGTGCCCACGGACCCACTGTTATTCCAACACTCAGGAATCTGAAAGAAGGATCCTGAGATAAGGCAGCTTGGGCTCCACTGTAAAACCCTGTTTCAAGCCCATACCTGAAATAGCTTCTAAATATGGAATTAAAATCATCAAAAGATATAAAATGCACTGAATGAGATTCATGCTAGCTTACGTATCAAAGTCAAACTGGTATGTGGATTTGAAGACACAAAAATAAAACCATTCTCTATGAAGGACAGAACTCCACAGGATGACCTCAGACAGATTAAAGGAGGTAAGACAAGGCAAGACACAAAATATTGAGGAAATAATAGCTAAAGTTATTTATAAATTTAAGAAATACTCATTATACTTCAACTACAAGAAACATGAGACAATATGAGACCATCAAGACAGGTCATTATCAAATTATATGAACAAGTATATGCATATTCATAAATGCTGTGAGATTTTATGGTAAATATTGCTATTAATATGTTAAAATTTTAAAATTAAATTCAAAGTTGTAACTATAACCTTGGAAGTCAGTTACAGAAAAAAAAGTCTATTGTCTCATATGAACCAAAGGAAATAAAGTAAGCCAAACAAAAAAGTGAATTAATTAAAATAAAAATCTGCCTAAATCTCCCATTAACTATATTTGGACATTGGGAAAATATAATGAGATATGAGCTCTCATCAGTTAAAAGAGTAATAAAAAAAGATGAAAGAAATGTTGGCTACAAAAACATAAATGTAGGGAAGAGAACACTTGTCTACTGTTGGTAGGAAAGTAAGTTAATTCAATTATTATGGAAAACTACAGGTATCCATCAAAAAGAAGGAGGAGGAGAAGAAGATTGCCATATAATCCAGCAATCCCATTTCTTTACATTTACCAGAAAGGGTTGAGACCACACAAGTATACCTGCCAATGAAGGATTGATATTTGTGTACTGCAAACTACAAAATATTAAAGACTTGAATATGGTTCAGGGGTCAA